TATTTACATTAATTTTATGATTCCTGGGCATACAAAATTCATCTGTGATGCAAATTTTGGATATATTAAGAGTAAATACAAAAATAGAATTATAAATACAGTCGCACCTGTCTATTTGCATACCGATTTACATTTACTACTATATTTTTCTAGAACTATACGCACTATACGTATAGTACTGATCTGCCCATCTCTAGGTACGATGGAATGAATCAATAGAAAATGAAAATGTGAAATTACATAGATACAATACAACAACAGTGCCATCAGGAAATGGTGAAACTTTAGTACCAGAAGGTTCTATAGCAATAATAAGATTAAAAGGAGCATTAAGAAGAGTATTTTAATCAGGAACTTGGGCAGTCTTATTGAGATCAGAACTATGATTTTTCCTAATAAATTTGCGTAAATTTTTCCGATCAGAAAAAAAATACGTGCAAATTTTTTTTAACAAGTGGTGACACGTCAATTTTTACAAGTAGTGCTTTTTAACCATGCTCCCAAAATATTTAGTAATTAACGTCACTGTCATAATTCAATATCTTTTGACTTGACATTTTAACTTTGGACATCGGCAAAACAGTTTGGGCTGCATGTATAGTTGTATTTGCAATTTATTTTTATTTATATTGAAAATTTACAAAATGTTACATAGTGTTAGAGAAAAATACAATGTGTACTGAATCATTTAGCACACCAAAAAAAAAATCATCTTTCCAAAATCCTATTAAGGATAAGCGCACAGTTTCCAAAAATCGCACCCAATCAAGTGACGGAAAATATATTTAAACGTTTTCCAATCACAATACTCGCTTTCACAACCAGGAATCAGAAGCGGTTTATAATTAAGAACTGCTCGTATTGTTGCTTTACCCTCTGGACAAGTATATACCTCTAAATAGAACGTGGTGCCCCAGTGTAGAGCTACAAATTCTGTTTTTTTGACTTTTTTAATTTCTTCAAGGGTGAAATCTGCCGTGAGTGGGCGTTCTTCTTTCAATAATCCCTGTAATCGTCAAAAAACGGAAGATGAAAAAACGGAAGACGAAAAAATGAAAATGAAAATTTTCACGTACCATTGAAGTAAAAATCATAAGCATAGTATAGGAATGGGCAAACTTTAGATTGGCTATCGTAGGAGATGTCCCATTTAAATAACTATCAACTTCATTTACAAGTTGAGTAATATAGGCACAGCCCACTTGTCTATTCATAGGATTACCATATTGTAATAAATAATATACACGCATATCCCAATAATATCGTATTAATAGAAACTCGTCAGGTTTCAGCAATGTACACCATGTGTCAGTTCGATTATAAACAGTGATATAAAATTGGCAATTAGTAAAAATAAATGGTACCAAACGTGGATCAAGAGGTGGGTTTATACCGTGTGCTTTGGAAATACGCTCAGCAATTGGTGCTAGAGTATTGTTGCCATATATATAACTTTGTTCGTCGAACAAACGGTTATTAGAATAAACAGTCTTAAACCAACGTGTGCAGGAAAGCCATGGTATCAACACCCCATCTTGCATCTATATAAGAATTATATAATAATAATGTTAACGGATTTGAACAAATGTTTTATAAATGGCGTAGTAAAAAAAATATACCGCTGGTATAGACGAAGTGTACACAGGTTGACTTTTACAAGTGTCTAAAGAGCCTCTGCCATTGAATAATCCTTCGGCATAAGCCATTGACGATGCACCAGCTCTTTAAATAGTAGTATATATTGTATTTTATATATGTGTATTAGAATAGAAGTGGAAATTCCAAACATGATGGTACTTGTAGGACTTAATGGAGAATGTGGCGCGAAAAACCATATATATATATATATATAATATTAAATTGTATGTACCTTGAAGTAGCTGAACTTTGAAATTTTATAACTTCGGGGTCATATTTAACTCCTTTCCAAAATTTTGAATATCTTTTACGAGATTGCAAGCCATCGTAAAACATTTCGAGTTCTCCTCGTTTGACCATTTGAAATACCTTAATCGGTGGGAAAATATTTTTATACTAAAAAAAAAAAAAAAAAAGTATTTTTTAGATAATAAATAAATGGTAAATTCGCTAAATACGACAAATAATTTTTATTACCCAATTTTTTGCAACAGGAACATTAGCAAATACTTTTTCCAATTTTCCGTAGGCAACATAATCATCTGGATCTGGATATCTCGATCCTAATAATTATTTTAAAAAAGATTATTTTATGCCGCCAAATTTGTACATGTATTAGTATGTATAATAAATAATCATTACCGTGTCTACTGATCAAATTTAATTGTTTTAATTCACATTTATCAGGATAAGTTATGGGTTTAATATTAAGAGAAAAGGCGATGCTTGCTTTTTGAAGATGAAATAAGTCTCTGTTTATAAGTTCTTCTGAAGTGTACTTGAACAATTCATGACATAGCGTTGGGTTATAAGAAATAAATAATGCCAAGATAAAAACAGAATAAACAGTGTGATATGAAAAATGCATCTTTTTAGAATTGCAAGTTGCGTTTATTTTCAAAAAAAAAGATATGCTTTTATATCGGTTTCGTATGTATTTATTATATCGACTTTAACCATGTAAGGATAAATTGTATGGATATATATATAATTCGATCAATATATATAATTTAAAGCAAAAAAATAATTTTATTTTTAGCATTACTAATATGATTGGATAAAGATAATTATAATAAATGCAGGTTCCAGGAAATGAATGCTTTCCTTATGGCGTGGGATTATTATTCATTCACTCACTCAGCCTTTCAATTAATTACTAACCTGAGCTTTTATTTTACCTCAACTATATTTGATAAAACCCTGATCTATAGTTATCTTTAAATTATTATTATGAGAAATAATTAAAATTTTGGGGTGGGGTGTTTTGATATGAAATTCTGATTGGCTAATTTGAATTGCAAATTCATTTTCACGCACAATAAATATAAAAAAAAAATTTATTTAAATGCAAATGTATTAGTGTTAGTTTGGAATTTAATTATAATAAATTTTCAAATTCACACGATTTGATTTTATGAAAAACTTATATATATTCAAACATGAAAGGTTTGCTTATTATTATCTTCTTTTCTCCCCAAATATGGACTCTGATATTGCAATACCTATTTTATTCACACTACATTTGTTGATACAAACTTTATGACCCAAAAGATGCGAATGGCGTTATTGAAGTTTTCAAGAGTCGGTGAACTCTCGCGCGAAGAATTTGCTATGATAGAATAGAAATGCTGGAGTTTGGAAGCAGATTGAAAAGTTGGGATTTTAAAGTCGTCAGGTATGTTTGCTAATTTGGTTGAAAAGTTTTTATAGTAAGCAGACTTAAAAAAATTGTAGGAATGAAACTTTTCCATCCATCTGTTCATCATTAACATAACTAATTTTTCTTTTATTTATTATGCATTTATCATATTTTGCATAGACAACATTTCTCTTTGGGAAAGATGATTGGATTACGTATACCGCTCCTTTTCTTGTTTTTCTTTTGCTTTTGTATGAATTATCCATCATTGTTTAGTATAATCAACTAATTTGTGTCTTTTCTTCTGATTTTGGATCCCTTTAACATGTTAGAAAGACTGCAGAGAATGATAAAATGTTGGGAGTGTTACAAGATGCACAGAATTTACTCATTTGCATACTACTACACATTTCTATTTAACATATACTAATTAAAAGGGAACCACATTTTTTTATGAAGATCCGGATTTTTAAATTACTGTTTCCGAGTCTAGAACGGGGTCTAATGGTATTGGTATAACGGGTTTTTTCCTCCAATAAATTCACTATTGAAAACAAATTCAAAAAAAAATTACCGTAAATGTTGAATATAGAAAAGAAATGGAAGATTTGAAAAGATAAAAATGATTAATAGAAAATATAAGTTATATCCATGATTGGTATGTACAATAAAAGTTCAAATAAAGTTTATTTATTGTTGTGCTATGAGATCATCAATTACCTTTTCATTCTTTATTTATTTTGTGAATGGACTGAAACTTTTAATGATAAAAACATGCTGCATTCACATGTATCTTTCTATGCACCATAATCAAAAAACAAACAAAGAAAATATCAAACTTTATACTAGTACTACTGACTTTCTTTTACGCCAGAGAACTCTGTGTATTGACTATGACTATTTTAATTTTTTCTGAATGTCATGTCGTTAGTTAATATGTTGGAGATTTTACTTTTCTTGCTAGAAAAGAAAAAAGTAGTATATAGTGAAACGTTTAAAAATATAGCTTGAATAGGAAGGAGTACACGTCTAATTTTGTAATATTACGTATGCTCTCAAATTATTATTATTATTATTATTATATGATTTGCAATGTTTGGACCACCTAAGGTCACACGAGTTTACCATCAGAAAGTTTTTGTAAAAAAAAAAAAAGTTATTAAACAAGTATATCTCGTCGTACCACACACTCAAAAGTAACTTTGATTGAAATATGTATGAATGGGTTTTTTGTATGAAATTTCAATAATGAGATAATGTAACAGTATGTTCCATTGGAAGATTGGAGGCATCAATAATATTTTGTTTGCACTATTAATCACGTGATAAATTAATGACAAAGATGTGTTTCTATCACCACTTTATATGTACTTTAAGAATTGAAGGGTGTTAATTTTCCTTACTAAAATCTACTATAGCTTTATGTCGTTTATTTTTTACGCTATCATCATCATCTTCATTATCTGTTAAATTGATATTTTCGTCCACTTCTTGGCTCAAAAAATTAGCACAACTCTTAAATGATTTTTAACTTGTAACTTTTTGTTTGTAAAAGTATGTTTATGTAGTTCCTCTGCATTTAACCTTTCATAGCTGATACCTTAATATATCTTATCAGACAATAGTTTTTTGGCTTTGTTTTGACGAGAATTCGAGAAATAAATAAACCACTTGGTATTTAGTATTGGTATGTGGATTTTAAATGCGTGTGAAATTAAAATTAGTCTGCACAAAATTTTGTACAAAACACCTGCACAAAATTTAATTATAAATTCCTCGCACAGAAAATGCACTGAACGAACATTTTAACGAAATAACGCCTTTCCGTATATTTTTATAATAGATAGTAAAAAAATGATTACAATGACTACAACAAACAACTACCATCATTAGAAGGATCTTATTAAGGGTTTTGTCCCACATAAATATGTTGATCAAATTTTTATTTAAAAATTATTTAAACGAGCGGGAAACTTAAAAAGTATTAGTATTCTTTAATTGTAACACAAAATAATTTTTTGATCACGATCTTGCATTCTTATTGGCCAATTTAACGATCAGCCAAAAAAT